TGATTTCCCTGGCAAAGGGTTTAGTGACCAGTTCATTTCCAGTCACATGCCAGGACTGGGGGGTGCTAAGAAAACTGATTGACCAAACTGGCTCCAGACAGTAGCAATGTCAACATCTACAACAGTGATTTTAAGTTTGCAGTTCCAAACTTCTCTGCACATTGGAACTCACTGGAGACCTTGAGTAGAAAGGGTGACAAGAAATTGAGTTGTGTGGGTAAAGTTGTGGCCACCAGCAGCCCTGTAAGAATGCAGCAGCATTTTACAAGTGCTATAAAAGGCAGTTGACAGAACTTAATCTCAGAGAAGCAGGCTCTGGGGATCCTATTCAGCTGTGAAACAAGGTAACCCTGTCAGAAGAACACTCACCAGAATTAAAAAATAAAATTCAATATAATAGCAGAGGCATCAAATGTAACAATCTTTCTTGTCGCATAGTACAGATGTTTTTTCAACACCACCAAATCACGGCTGTGTTCTGCATTTCTCTTTCCCTTGCCCTCTGACACAACTGTAGGCTCCTACCTTCTCATTTACTTGTCAAGAGCCCCTTTAGACTGCCAGGATGATCATTACTGAATTCCCACCTGCAAGCTTTGCTGAAAGCTGTCATCTCTTCCCCCTCTCTTCCTCCTCCTCCTCCTCCAACCTAAACAACAGATGAAGTTGTAAGTGCTATTTAGATTAGATTTCATAGTAATCAAGTGGTGCAGGATTAATCTACCAGGCTGTAATAATCATTCAACACTGCTAGAATACATTTCCATAGTAATTAGATGGGATAGACCTCTACAGCTACACAAATTCCAGCCCACTGACTCAAACTCTAGAGATGACTGAAAAAGGGGTTATTCCCTCCTTTTCACATTTTACTATATTTATCTTTCTTTTGAGATGAAGAGAATTGAGTTAAAAGTAGAAAGTAGTCCTAAAGAAGGCAGAGTGCTGCAGAAGCAGAGTAATGAAAACATCTAAATTTAAAATGCCAGCTCTGCACATTGGGACTGCAAACCCACCTGTAACGAGAGATGTCTGACAGATGCAAAGGATCAGGTGACTAAAACACAGTGAGAAGTTAAGTGATAAAAATAATTAAGTAATAAAACAAATGAAAAGTAATTAAGAAAAAAGTATGGCAGATCAAAGACAAAAAAATGTCACAAGAGGAGTGCAATAAAAGATAACCAATGAATTGTGATGGAAAACTCTCAGTGACATCCACATTGCATCCTGAGAGAATTAAAGAGTTAGAAGAGACCACAGAATGCAGGGTGACACTAAATAAATGTGCAGCCTGATGCTCACAGGGTAATTTACCTCTCACAAGGAATGGTGAGCACGCCCAAGTTTAAAAGAGTCTCCTGACGTGTTCTCAGCTTTAAACCCCACGGCTTTTCAAGGAAACAAGACAATCCCTCTATCAAGGATGTGACATATGCTGTACCCCTGGTGATAAATATCCACTTCAAATCAATTAAATCTACTATTTTATTTTACAGAGGTACTGTGCTCCTTCAGTCTATATCAACATTGGCCAAAATTGTGGTACAATGGGAGCAGATCTGTAAAACAAAATGGGGTTTGTATGAAATAAATCTGTTTATTTTCCTAAACTGTTTAAACCTAGAAAAGTTGCTTCAGATGCTGCTAATAACAGGTTACTAATATTTGGGAATTTTTAAGCAGCAGATTTTTTTCTCTCCTGACACAAGAACCACTCCAAAGGAAGCAACTCCAGGACACAAGAATGGCTCTTCAAGAGTTTTCAGGCATTTTTATGAACACCTTCTTAAAATTAAGAGAGATTTTCAGCTCCAATTCTATAATATGATTTTATGAATTTGCTCTTTTACTGACAGAGTCATTAAGCATGAAGCTCTAACCAGAATAAGAGGTGTCAATACAGTTGTCACACAGATGTATGAGCTTTTCTCTTTACTGTGGACCTTGCCATCATTCCTCACATTACCTTTAGCAAGAAAATGTTTGACAGATCCTAGAACATTCTCCTAGTGCTTTGTAGCCGAGACTCAGAAATGAGTGATCTCAAAGGCCCTCTGCTGGCAGCTGCTTTCCCAGGTGTTGAGATCTGTAATTGCTGCCAGGCCAGACAGCCTGGGCACATCCACCTATTCTGCCCCAAAAAACCTTTCCTATAATAACTCCCTTTTCCCCCACTGGATAGTGGGATTTTTAAAGTTTTGCCCCATAAATAACAATCCAAACCAACAAATCCCTCTGATCTGAGACACCTCAACCAGCTGCAAGGAAAGGAAAAATTACTTATAGCAGATAAATGAGCAAGACTAGAGAAACCTTCCTTCATGCACAGTGGGCACTCTAACTCAGTTCCATTTCTAACTTTTTCAGGTGAGTACCCACTATCCAAATGGGTTTGAGTTCTTATGAGGAGAGACTTCACTCATGGGCAGTTCTTAAAAGATGCAATGCATAAAAAGTGGGATAAGCAGTTGAGTGGAAATATCTTTAAGGTGAATTTTTCATGGTCCAGCTGGCTTTTGCAATGAAAAAAAAAGGTTAAAAATGCAAGTCCTGAAAGTGTGTTTCATTAATACTAATTGAAATGAAGCAAAGAACTCCCCAGTACAGGAAATGTCAACTGCTTAAGGTCTTGAGAAGCCACTTTGACTAAAGACTGTTTTAGATCAGGTCAAGAGTGTATAAAATGTTCAAACCAAATACTTGGCCTTTAATACTTTCATCTACATGACAGCACAATCCAGGACTTTAAAATTATAAATGTAACAGCAAGGTGTTGGACATGGAAAAAGAAAAAAATGCTTTTACTAAAAACTCTAAAATGATGAAGCTGGGGCAATCAAGAATCTAAAATCCAGTCCATTGCTATCTGTATATTTTGAAAAAACAGAAACCTGCCTGCATTCCACTGTCAAAACAATGATAAGCTTTAGCTGTGAGTATTTAAGAGCTGAACAAGATCAAAACTCAGGGTTCATTTTTAGAAGATAGAAGGGGGAGACTCATACTTGCAAAGTACACTGTGCAAACATATCAGGGCCTTCAACTCTACCAGGGCTCACCCTGCACATACAATATTCACACATCCACATTGGGAGGTATGAAATTGGTTTATTTCACAGCACCCAAATGCAAAACCAGCTCCATACTTGTCTGCACAGGGAATGTGAGGCAGTGAAACTGCTCTGCACACACTAGAATGTCTTGGAAATGAGAAAAACCAATAAAACACAATGTACATCAGAGCCTATCTGTGGCAATGGAGTACAAACATGAAGTTTATGCAGATCCAGAGAGAAAGCCACATAAAAATGGAACTATACACCCCAAGTGGTTTTTTCCCCTCTATAATGCTATAAACCCATATTAGTGAAAGGGACAGAAGCTGATAAAATATTTATATATACACAGGCATGCTTTTGTTATGGTAAGGAATAGCAGTCAAGGGAACTCAAAGTAATAAATACCATGACATGATAAAAATGCCTGTGAGTACAAAGGCCTTCCTCACAACACACAAGCAATGGGACAGCTGGAGGTGTCCAGGGTGGGACCTGTCCCTGGGCACTCTCAGAAGGGCTGGGCTCCTCTCCTTTGCAACAGCAGGGATGTTTCTGCAAGGTCACCTGGCACATTGGTCACTTGGGATCATAAAAACCCCAGAAGCCTGGACACAAAACATACAAAAGAGAGCATTGCATGGACCTGCAAGGTTTAAAACCGCTGCTTACTGCCCTTCCCCATATTCCCTTCCTACACTCCATACATTTATACATTTCCTCCTTGGACAATACAGACCAGGATTCTCCCTATCTGGAAAGCATCTATCCCATTCTTGGCTTTGTTTAACATAATTATAGCGCTGATGGTCACTACAAAGCAAATTCTCCTTTTTTTCAGCTATGTGAAACCAAAGCACAACACAAGTAAGAAAGCACTTGCTGAAAGTAAACTGTATCTAAAAGCTTCCAGCTAAGTAAATATATCCTTCAACTTTGAAATATTGTTTCGGAAAGAAACAAACAAATCTCTCCTTAGTTTTTGCCAGAGCAGAATTAAGATGTTTTATTAATAAAATATTGTGCAGGTTCAAGCCAGTACCTTCCTGTGGTTAATGAGTTCTCACTCACATTTCTTCTCACACATATTCTTTCCCAGGTACAATAACTTATATTTTACTATTTAATTCAAAAACATGCAAAAAACTTCTAATTAATCCTTCTATTTTCTTTATGCATAAGAGACCTGTTGGCTGTCCTTGGGTTTTTCTTTCCCATGCTGAATGCTGGTTACAGCCTGAGTAAAAATATGGCAACAGATAATCTATGACCCTGTTTTATAGCATATATTGTATTTTTCAATGTATTTAACAGAAAAACCATAAAGAAATGCATTACATTATATTACACTCAATATAAGGTTGGCAGTTAAAAAAAAGGCTATAATACTATGTCTCAGACAAAAAACTGTGGTTCTGGGGTACTTAATCTGTATCATTGAAAACTACCATAGTTATTCTAGAAATTCAGGAACTCTGGCACTACAGGCATGCAGGAAGGCAACAGCTAAATAAGACAGACAAAAGCTGGCAAGTAAACTCACTCAATGCTTCCACACGTGCTGAAAGTTTAATTTCTTGTGTTTTGGTTAGAGATGTGTAAGGAGTAAACCTCAGTGTTGGCCAGCAAAGTCGATATCAGAGATAAGAGGTCTGTCAGCCAAAATATCCAAAACTACGCCTCAACATCAAGGTCAGAAAACCTTTGTTATTCCCAAGCAAAAAAATGTGTCTGCTTCATGTCTCTTTTGACTTGTGATGAGGCTTGTCCCAGCAAGCACTCCAGGCAGTCCCCCTGGTTATAAAGCCATGTCCAGAGCTGATTTGCTCATTTGTAGGGACTGCAAAGGGGGTCAGAGGTACCGAGCAAAGCTGAACACATCTGAGCTTTGACAGCCTCTGCCTCTCTCCCCTCTTCTCTCTCTCTTTCTGAAGCAAAGCAGAAGCTCATTGAAAAATGGTCCTGGAGACCCTGAACCCAATGCACTACAACATCACCAGCCTGGTACCAGACACGATGCCTGTGGCCACCGTGCCCATACTCATCCTCATGTGCTTTCTCTTTCTCATATGGAATCATGAAGAGACTTCATCAATACCAGGTAAATTAGCTTTAGCTGCTGTGCCACATTAAAGTTTTCAGAGTAATTTTTGTTTGTTTCTCAAATTTAAGTGACAAAGTAATGCTGAATAATCATGGTAGGACAACAAAAATTATTATGGATCAGTTTAAGTAATACAGATTCTTAAAAATTCCTGATAAAGGAAATCAGGCTTATTCTAACTTCAGAACTTCCATAATAAATCATGGCTTGGCCATCTGACATTTTTTCTTCAGCTTTAATTTGTGTATGCTAGAAAAGTATAATACTATTTTACAGCTCAGGATTTTCAACTATTTCATACTGTTTTGCAACTCCCATTTTCATGTGCATTATAACCTACTTTTTGGATGTTTTAAAGTTTAAGTCTCTCTAAACTACCTTTACTCTAAACAGTTATCTAAGAAGCTGTTCAGATTTTAGTAGGTTATCAATGTTTCTCTATCTTTAGCACTGAATACCCTCCAGAACAGAACATCGAATCTCCTTTCCCTTCTGGAACATTTTTGGGGGCTTGTTTAGACATTAATGGCTCAGCTTATTTTCCACCAGATGCAACACCCTGCTGCATGGAGGAGAGCAGTGCACAGCCTCTCACAGGTGTTGGACAGGAATAACCCTAAACCAGTACAGTGACTCCTGGAAGAAATTCTGGGAAAAGACCAGAAAAGAGAATTTCTTCTTGCTAGGATGGAGCCATTGTCCCTCCAAGAGCAAGCAGCAGCTGGAAGCTGTGCACAGCAGCAATGAATGTCCTTTGTTGTAGGTACCACTGAAACCACTACAGGCTTCTCAGACAGTGAGAAGTGCAGTTCCTGAGACAGTTTCAGAGCAGAAAAGTTTGTGTGAGCTGCCCAGCACAGGCTGTGACTGTCATGCCAAAAGCCTCCTTTCAAAGGGAGCTGCTCAGAGGTGTTTTCTTGTCTGTGAGCACTGCTGAGACCAAACCTCTCTTCCCTGTTTCTTAGGGCCAGGATACTGTATGGGAATTGGTCCCCTCATCTCTCATGGCAGATTTCTCTGGATGGGAGTAGGGAATGCCTGCAACTACTACAATAAGACATATGGAGAATTTGTGAGAGTTTGGATCGGCGGTGAAGAAACGTTTATAATTAGCAAGTAAATCCTTACTTTCTATACTTAATAACTTGAAAAGCTTTATATCTTTACAACCTCTTTGCTACTTTATTCTAAAGCAGAATTGAAGTTATTTTTTTCAAAAATTGTCCTAACAAAAGCCTATTACTTTCTGCTATTCACAGACCTTTTTCTAATCTTGTGTCTGTTTAATGAAGTTTTGGTGAACTCCCCTAATATTTTTTTTATGGATAGGAAAGTACTATGGCTAAATCCTGGAAATAATTTACCATCTATTTTACTATTATTAAGATGATATTCAGTTTAGGGATCTAGGCTTACAGCAATATGTGATTAAGTCAAATTTTCATTTTCTGTGTTTTTAAATTTCTCCTTAAAGTGGAAGTAAATGCTTGATGGTTATGGCTCCAATTCAGTGATTTAACTAAGCAAATACAGCATTATAGTATTAGGAGTAATTCCACTCCAATTAATGGGATTATTCATAGGTTTCAATTATGCACAGTATTAAACATAATGCTGAACTTCAGCCTATCATTTTATTAGCTCCATTGGTTTCTTCTTAAATTGGAGTATTATAAGTCATGCCATGAAAAAGAAAAAAAAAGACTAGTAAAAGGTTTACCTCATGTAATTGATAAAGAATCAGAACCTTTTAAGTAACAATGTCAATCAATTAATACTTTCATTAAGCAAAAGCCTTTGAAAGAAGAGCAGCATAGAGAATAATCACAGAATTTGCCACATGGTGCAAGTCAGCTTCATCTCTATTTAAACCTCAGTAGGAAGAAATAATCATGACAAGAAAACTGTTCACGTTCCTATCCTACAGAGGTGTTATAAATATCAACTAAAGGAGTAAAATGTTCTGATAATTCTCTAAATGCTTTGAAAATCCTACCAACTCTTATAGCTGTCTTTGTGCTACCAATTCACCAGAAACAAACCAGGGGTGCTGCTAAGCAATGCCAGATTTACAGTCAATACATTGTTTCTTTTCAGACACTTCTTGCTTTAAATCATTGGCTATACCTAGAAAACGAGTATGTAACTTTTTTTAAAGCAAAAACATAGAATAAAGTTTTCAGTGGATTCTAAATTAACTGCAAAACTAAACATAACCTGGCTTCTGCAAAAGAAAAATCAATGTCTTTTTTCACCAATGACATCTGAACTTTTAGCATCAAATCTAATACTGAGGTACTAATGCTCAGAGAGATGCACTTGCAGTCTTGGTTACAACAGCTGATGTCTTTTGGAGAACTTCATTAAACAGTTTCATAAGGAAAACCTGCTTATGCAAGGTCACTTCACAAAACCCTGCCTTGAAACATTATGATGTGTCTCCTGCATAGAGACACGTGGGATGGGAGGAAGAAAACTGAGCCTGCTGCACCTTCTCCTTTGTGGGGAGCTGCCAGAATTCAACACCATCTTTTCATGTTCAGGGAAATGCAGTTGTATACCCTGACATGGGAAAAAACTTCAATGTTAACTTTACCCCCAGGTCATGCAAAACTAAGAAACCAAGGATATTTATAGTCAATAGCAAAAGCCACATTTACATAAACTGACTGAAAAAATAAACTAAACCCATGTTACTAGTCTGGGGTTTGGCCCATAGACTATACTACACAGTAAAGAAAGAAGCATGTTGTTTCATTTCAAATCTTTGTTCTGATTTTCTTTCTTTGGTTGGATTCTCTTTGATCAGTGTTTCATCACATCCACATTTCTGAAATGCTGGCTCCCTCTAAAGGAAATTATATCTTAAAGCAAGAATGTTGTCTGCCAGCACCACCAAATCAATCTTGCTGACTGTAAATATAATTATGCATATCATGGATTTCCCTTATGTGTCTCTTTAAGAATATTTATTATTTATCCCACACATACCATTGTACTATCATAATGCATATTTAAGTGATGCATGTGTTTTTATGCTTTCAATATGTGTCTGAGAATGACCAAAGAGCTACAAAAGAATACATAGCATTGACTATACAACAGTAAAGCTGTAATTTAGTACACATCAAATATTTTATCTTATCCTCTGAAATATCCGACACTGGGCACTGCCTGAGTGTATCATATATATCTACACATTTCTATGTATACACACTACTCTGTTTAAAATCCTTCATTAACTATTTGCATTTTAACTGAAAAATAGTTTAAATCTGAACAGAACACCTTATTGCTTTAATATAAATTCTGAAAGCATTGATCAAATTTTTAATTATGTAAAAGATTTTTAATTATGTAAAGGGAACAACATTTCGTGCTAAGCATTGTACTTGCTGCTAAATTAAGAATGCGAGTCAGCACTGGGGAGCAACTCTAAAATGTCAGCATACAAATGCTGTATTTAGTCTATGAAACAGTTCTTTGATTGGGGGCTTTTTCCTCCTTCCTTCCCCAGATCCTCCAGTGTGTTCCATGTAATGAAGCACTGGCATTACGTGTCTCGGTTTGGGAGCAAGCTTGGATTGCAGTGCATTGGCATGTATGAAAATGGGATCATATTTAACAACAACCCAGCTCACTGGAAAGAAATTCGACCCTTTTTCACCAAAGGTAACCAGTGTGCACTGACACCCTGCATCCCTGTGACTCACACAGAGCCAGCCCTCCCTGAAATGCTGCTGTGTTTGTCTGACATCCATAGTGGAGGCCCTGGGGGGCATTCCCTACTCTAGGGAGACACAGGAAGCTCACCTCAAAAATCTGCTAGATCCCACTGGCTCCTTCCCCAGTTCCTATGTCTATTCCTATGTCCCTGAGCCACTCCTTCCCATTTCCCTTATTGTCCCTCACCTTTGCACTGTCCTGAGACCAGGGTCAGCCCCCAGGCCCCTGGGGAGTGTAAGGGAGACCCTCTGTGTGTAGGGGTGGGGGCTTGAACATCTCACCTCGCAGCTGAACAAAACATCTGTGGATATTATGCAAAGACCCTTTCTGCTTCCTTACCCTGTACCATACTAGCAAAGACCCTTGTTCCTTCCTTACCCTGGACTATACTAGCAGCTGTTCAGGCTGCTACAACCCATCCCTGTGCTCTCCTTTCAAAGAAAGGTAAACCAGTGAAGCTCCAGAATGGTTTCACACCAGCCACTGACACAATTTGCAATTTATCAACACTGCTATCACCACTTGAGGCATTATAAAGAAGGTACAAAAACTAACCAACCTTTTGTGTTCTGCACAAATGTCCCAGCTCTGTCTGGCCCCGGGCTGGTGCGGATGATCGCGATCTGCGTGGAGTCAACCATCGAGCACCTGGAGCAGCTGCAGGAGGAAACCACGGAGCTGGGCAACATCAACGTGCTCAACCTCATGAGGAGGATCATGCTCGACACTTCCAACAAGCTCTTCCTTGGGGTCCCTCTGGATGGTACTGACAGCTTCAGTTTTGGGCCCTAGGATGGGTCTGAAATGCATATCCAAGGAAAATTCATTGACACCACTCAGCTGTCTCAAAATAACAGAGCAAGAACAGACCCTTGTAGTACCACATAATTAACTGAAATTGATTTATTACCATCTTAGTTACAAGAGAGTTTTATATGACCAAAAATATGCATTAGCTTGTCACCCACCTTAATGAATTGGAGCATTTAAAGAGATTTTTATGCACCAATTTGGTACAGCTCCAATATTAAATTATATTCATGCAAGAATCTGAAATCTTTCTACCAAACTAAATGATTGCTCTGAAAAGTTCACCAAAAAAAATATGTTCTCTACAGTTTCTTCAGCCTATAACAGAAATAATATTATCAGAATGCCTAAATTGCCCATTTCAGTGCTCTGCAATAGCTCTGCTTCTGCTGTCCTGTGGCAGACTCTTCAGTCTGGCTGACACACCCCTGTGTTCTTGTAGCAAGGTACCAAGAGTTTCTGCAAAGATCTAGACCTTTTTTACAGTGTGCTTCAAATGTTATCTACCAGCTGCTTATCAGATTCCCATGAACTTAGGGAACCCAACCTTATTATTAATTTTCTGAAGGATTCATCTTACTTGACTAATGACCTTTTTTTTAACATTTCTTTTCAGAAAATGCCATTGTGCTTAAGATTCAAAACTACTTTGATGCTTGGCAAGCACTTCTATTAAAGCCTGACATATTTTTTAAGATTTCTTGGCTGTGCAAGAAGTACAAAGACGCAGTGTGAGTATCAACCCTTCTACAGAGTGATTGCATAAGAGTCTTTCTTTCTTTTTATGAAGAAGCATTTCCCTTGATGGGAAATCAAGGGAAATGAATCAGATCTTTCCTCTGCCTTTAAGAAACTAAATTGTGACACTTGCAAAGGTGTCTGCTGAGGTCCCCTGTCCACAGAGCCAAGACAGAACCAGGTTTGTCACTGGTGGTACAAGAAGCTGAATTCTGGGACCATTTAAAGCTTTGTCTATCCAGACCCAATTTATTCACCAAAATACCAGTTCATGCACACTCAAATGTGAAACTAAACTTTGGTTCAGAGGAGGAAAAGCCACTGTATGGATGAAGTGATATATTTGCTGTCCAGTTGAGGACAATCAGAATAGGCTGCAGCTCATCCAAACAAGGAAACCCATCTGTATGCACAGCACAGCCCCCAAGGGGTTAACCCTTGAGCAGTTTCTGGTTATTGGATTTCTCAACAAGCATTTTTGAGTCAAACACTCATTTATGAGTTAAACTTGGTGCTCAGTGTGATAATCCATCTCAAGGTTGAGGGTTTTTTCCCTAAATAAGGAACAAATATATTTTGCCATTTTCCTCTTTGCAAAAACACAAAATGCCTCTTCCAGCTTTGTGGTCTTGTTTTCTATCTCCTGCCAAAAAAGAGCTGGCTTTGAAAAGAACTGGCAGTCACTTTTTTTCATTTTGGATTTGTTTTCCATCTAGTAAGTGAAATTGCTCCTTAGGAAGGACATGTAATAAATTGCTTTGATAGTGCTACATAACATAAGGGCTTTAAGGAGAAGATCAGATTCACCCAAGCTAATTGACAGCTCTTGAGCACTGGACACAAGATTCACCTTCTCTAATATTTGCTTGCTAGTTTTATTATGGCACTGATTACTGCTTTATCCTGTGATGCTGATAATAAACTATTATGGCCCAGTTATTACCAGAAAGCCCCTGCAAGCAAATATTGATATTTCAAAAGCAGTCCCATAAAAAAAGAACTTATTAATAAATTTTTATTGCAAAGAAAAAAAAATAAAGATTTCTGGATTTAAGACAATGCAAAGAACCACCACAGGATATGAGGACTTGTAATATTCTTCTGATAAACTTTTCAAAAAGGACTACTATTTCTAATACATAAAATATTTAAAAATACTGAGATCTTTATGGGGATTGACGTTCTAAATATATTTACCCTACAAACACAAATTATCTATCTCAACACTAACAAACCCACATTTGAAAAGCCTCAAGATTTCATTCAAAATCTTTCCAGAATACTTTTTTTAAAGAATTGCCTTTGAATCCATAATTAATTGAAAATTCCCCCAAAATTTATAACAAGTTTTGAACTTTGTTTTTTCCACCACTGGAACACAAACTGTTGACACAGTATTACTATTTAAACATGAAAAGTTTATATAAACTCTACTCCAGCATACAATTTTCCTAAAACTTGTCTACATTTTTCTAAAAATCACCCCTTATGGTCTCTAAATTCATTTTACTTAGTGATAAAACACAATATAAAATACAAGGAAATAAAATACTTTTTTGGAAATGGTAATAAATCTTTAAAACCTTTATTCATTAATAGTGTATATAGATACCTTTTCCTCCTTTTCAGTCTACTCTCTAAAGAAATTAAGATTTCATTCCAGACTGACAAGCAATTACTTAAGAATAATAAGAAAATACACCTTGCCTCAGTTTTACTACTTTTGCAGAGAACTATATAACTATTCTTAGGAATACTTAATTTCTGCCATCCTTAGATGCTTTTCTTGATATATCTCTGTATTTCTAGTCATACCCTGGTGCAGATATTTATCAATATGTTGGATTTCATCTGTTTTCAGCAAGGATCTTAAAGGAGCAATGGAAACTTTAATAGAACAGAAACGACAAAAGCTTTCCACTGTGGAAAAGTTGGATGAACACATGGATTTTGCATCCCAGTTGATTTTTGCACAGGTATTGGGAATTTACTGGAAATATGACTAGGTTTGGTTTTTCTGACATTCTCCTGAACACAGGCTTTGCAATTTAATCTTCATATGCCTCTCTAAAAGTCACATCATCATAAAAGGATGCTGAGTTGGTGCTGTGGAGTCCCTAGGAGTAACTCAAACAGGGATACTTGTATTTCAGGATCAGATGCTTGCCATATTTATTTCATAGCTTAAACAACATCCCTAAAACTCTTGCATCTATCCCTGAATGTCCTTCAGTCTTTCCCTAACCACTGTGTATTATTTCAGGTATTGCTTTTTGTTTGCAAAGGTTTCAAATGCTATATAATTCCTATTTTGTATCATCTCTGACAGCTCACAAACTCAGTGAGGAAATGCAATAAACTAAAAAGAATCTGAGCTTAGAACACACATTTCTGCTTTTCTGCAGAACACCACCCACCCCCCAGAACATGAGCTTTCTGTCATTCTCTGAAAGACAAAACAGAAATGCTATTTAGTGTAAGATAGACTGTCCAGAAATTGTGCAGTCTGTAAGACCTTTGTTGGCATCAGAGGTCAGCAATCAATACTTTCTCCAAAATTTCCTTTTTATTTTTATTTTCCAGAACAGAGGGGATCTGACTGCTGAGAATGTGAACCAGTGTGTGCTGGAGATGATGATTGCTGCTCCTGACACTCTGTCTGTGACTCTCTTCTTTATGCTAATCCTGATTGCAGAGCACCCCACAGTGGAAGAGGAGATGATGAGAGAAATTGAAACTGTTGTGGGTAAGGACAAGCTGCAAAGTCAGTGATGTGGGAATATAATTTTCCTTCAGCAGTGATCTAATTTAATTTATCTAAACCTGAAAATTTTAAGCATTTCCTCCCAAAAGAAGTGTTTGCTGTAAAACATATGAACTACTATTGTCTGTAAAAATTATATTAAAGAACAAATTAAAAAACGTGAGAAATTTATAAAATAAAATAGGAATAATCAGAATTAATTATATATTAGAAATAATGTGGTATATTCTCTCCTCAGCAACCACAGAGCATTCACCTCAAGTTTAATTGAAATTATTTTCCTGTTACCCTGAAATAGCAAAAGAGGGCACTTGTTTCAAATAATTCTAATCATCAGTATTTTTCTGTGCTAAAATACAGAATTTCTCTAAGTTTCATTATAACTCTAGAAGGAAAAGACTAGACAAAATTAAAATTATATTCTGCTGTCATCCATTTTGATCTCAAATTGGCCTCCTCTAAGTACTAATTACTAACTATTCAAAACACAATCAAGATATTCCAAATTTGTATTCTTCCCCTTCTCTAGCCTTCATTCAAAGCCTAACACTGAACCAATATAGAAACTAATTTCATCCACACTTATTTAAGACTTACTTCTGGTCTGTTAAACACCAGAAAATGTATCACAAGTCTTTTACTCTTTTTCTAAGGTACTTTTAATGATCCTTATTGTACTGTCCTCATGAGAGTACTCACTCACTCACTTTCCCTGCTTCTTTCTGAAGCCTTACCCTCTAAGGTAAGGCTCCACCACACAGTGAAAATTTCACAGAATTAGCTCCAGACTATCCCAGGTTCTGTTTGCTGTTAGCTCCTGGCAGATTTATTTGTTGTTCCTTGTTGCTCTCTCATGTAAAAGCCAGGGAAAGACCCCCAGAGTTTTGTTGGTGACAAGAACAAAGAGTGAGAAGAAGATGATAAGATTGTTAATTAATAAACTAGGATGTATGCTAATGAACAATATACCAGATTTCCTCAATAAGTAAGGCCACGCAAAACTCCTTAGAAGCTATTGGATCCTTCCTACAACTTCAGAACCCAAGAATCCTCCCAAAAAGTTCTGATATTTGTACAATGTAAATTCCTAACCAACTAATCCCTTCACCATCTGCTTTATTCCACAAGGCAACAGAGACATCCAAAGCGATGACATGCCAAACTTGAAAACTGTGGAGAATTTTATTTATGAGAGCATGAGATACCAGCCAGTGGTGGACCTGATCATGAGGAAAGCGCTACAGGACGATGTCATTGATGGCTACCCCGTGAAAAAGGGCACAAACATCATCCTCAACATCGGCCGCATGCACAAACTCGAATTCTTCCCAAAGCCAAACGAGTTCTCTCTTGAAAATTTTGAGAAAAATGTAAGTTGTCCATCTTGTTTCTTACAGAAATTTGGGTTTTATTTATTGCTAATGTCTCTTCCTCTTAGTTTGCTCAAGAACTTAGTGACCATAAGACTGTTTTCCCTTTGTCTAAGTGCCCAGTTAGCCATACAACCTGCTGATTACTGTTATTATTATTATTAGAGCTGGGCAGATATTTTCCTGTCAAGCTGCCTTTTAAATAAAAAATTAATTATAATCTAGAGAACAGTTTTTTCAGGCATAATAGTTTTGATTCGAAAATCTGATTAAATTTGTCAGACACACAGAGTTACCATTATTTCCCCTGACACTGGACAAGATAAAGAGGCTTTATGGAGCTAGAGCCATGCCAGCAGCCCACACAGAGCTGAGCATTCTCTGGAGAGGTGGAGCAGTGCACCTCTCTGAGAGACTGGGGATCTAGTGCCCTTATTCTTTTTTTTCTTTTTAAATTAACAATATTTTATAGACCATAATGAAAATGTTAAGTTTTAACTAACTCAATACTGCAGATGTTGAGTAATTAAGTTTCTGTTCAGCTCTGAATTTCAAATGAAGTTATGTTCTAACTACCAGGAGAACTATAATCAAAAGCAATATGTGAATATTTTTTCTTCCTGTAATCCCCGACTGGTTCAAATCATCCTTCAGATTATTTACTCAGACCTCTGCTCTGATGATTACTGATTAAACAATTGGTTTTGTGAAGCTGTATTTGTTCAGTAATAATAACCTGGAGAGATTAAAACTGCACTGATATGTTAGCAGCTGCACACATGAACACTGACAGGAACAACTTCAGCTTTAAAGAAAGAACAGAATATTTTGATACACCAAAAATGGACTCACCAGTAAAAACACCTGAAGCAACAACTAAGAAAGAAAAAAAAAAAGTGTTTAAGCCAGAACAAAACTTTAAGTTTTACCTATTTCTTACCAAAAAAGCTAAGGGTATCAAATATGACACACACAAAAAATGAGTATTAATCCACCTGATTAATATTTCTCAACTGCTGAGCAAATCCTGCACACGGCATTAAAAACAACACCTCAAAAAAAAGTTTTTGTAGAAAATTCAAGAAGAGAAAGTGACGAAGTTTATCAAAATTACAATTCCCTGTGAATAGAATCCATTTTGCCACCCATTATTTACATTCCAAGTATTTCTACCAAAAATTGATATCTTGCTTAATTTACGAGCACATTTTGCTACTAAAAATATTTCCCCTTGACCAAATATTTAACCACACATTTTCTATCTGACTTGATGCATTCTGTTTGCCACATAATTATTCTGGCAGGCACAATTTCCCTCCAGTTCTCTAAGTGAATAGCAATCCACAGCATTATTTATGATAAGATGCCATTGTTAGAATCTAAACATTTTTCCATTTTCACAGGCTGTGCATTTGCCATTGTGCTGCACTGCCAGCTGCTGTACTTGCTCTGTGTTATAAACACTTGTATTTATCTATAATTTTTCCAAAAGCATGGCTCAGTTTATTTAAAAAAAAAAAGTTAAACTGAACACTGAAAATAAGAAAAAACAGTACACTTTTTTCCAGATGATTTGATAGAAATAAATGGTTTCTACTCTATTCTTGTTAAATAGGAAATCAGAACATGGTTAATACCTGACTTTTTAAAAAAGAAGTTACACAGATGAAGAAAAGTAATTTCTTTATAACCAGACTTTCTTTTTAACTGATCAACTCAATGGCAATAAAAGTAGCAGAAACTAGCTGTTGGTTCTTCAGAAGTCCTGAGAATCCTGCATTTCATATTTCAGCTGACAGGACAGAAGACAATTTTGTGTTATCTTTCTATTAAATATAAAAATTTTAACATTTAATTTTATGACAAATTAGTTCTCAGAAATAGTAGCTTTATAATTACAAATGGAGCAGGCATATGGCTCAGTGATTATCTTTAGACAAGGCAGCAGCCTGTATTTCAGATATTTATAAGCTTTATAATGAACAATTTCTGAAGAACTTTTTAATGAACTTTAATGCATTTGAAGAGCAGAGGCTTCACTCCATTTCACAGCTTGTGGTGAAATCCCTGTAGTTCCCAGGACAAACAGACAAACACATGAGCAGAATTGTTTAACTGTGCAATCCCTGCTACCTCTGAATTTCCAAGGGCTCATCCACACTTCTGTCAGTGCCTGTAGCTGGGCCTGGGATTTCCAGTGTGAAATGAGAAATTGCTCTTAAAATTTTATTTCCACAGGTTTTTCAGAATATATCTGTGGGAATACATAAAATCAGAGGGTTTTGGGAAAGCTGCAAAAGGCAGGGTTTAGAGACAGCAGAACTGTGATTAGAGCTAAGCAGTAGCCATAAGATTGGTCAGCAGAAAAATTATGTAAGAAGCAGAAAAGTAAGGACAAATAGAACAATTGTCTGTGTATTAACACTGGTCTAGAATAACTCCCTAAGCTGCAGAAAAGTACATCTAGCAAGATATGAGGAAGTTCTAAGCTTAGTAATGGAGCTCTGTGCATTGTGTTTTAAGGCTTACAAGCAGGTATTGTATTTGAAATAAGCAAGCATTGTTTTAACTGAAGGTATGTGTGCTTATAGTGATTGGATAGAACTACCGCCAATGTGCTTTTGCTTTGTGTGATTGGTCAAAAAACTTTTAAACTGGGATGTGAGCTGCTGGCATCTTCCCATTGTCATAACCATGCAATGAGACCGATGCTGGAAAATAAAACAGCTCAAGGCACGTTCCCAGCAGTCCCGTCCCATTTTTGATTCTTACATAGCCCTGGCAATAATATTGACTGGCAATAATATCTACTACCAATTTCCATCACTGTTTTCACTGATCTTACGGAGAAGAATCTGTCTCTGAGTTTATTGCTCACGTTGCTCTCCGCAGGTTCCTTCCCGCTATTTCCAGCCCTTCGGGTTCGGCCCCCGGAGCTGTGTGGGGAAGTTCATTGCCATGGTCATGATGAAGGCAATCCTAGTGACTCTCCTGCGGCGCTGCAGAGTGCAGACAGTGAAAGGAAGAGGCCTGAACAACATCCAGAAAAACAATGACTTATCCATGCACCCCATAGAGAGGCAGCCTCTGCTGGAGATGGTTTTCACACCCAGAAGAAATGCGGACGAGAGTCAGGGTGATAGAATGGATCAGCACTAAAGTTACAGGATTTTCTCAACCTCCAAGAAATAGTCATCATTCCTAGTTAAGTACAGAAAGTAAAATGTTTTGTTGCCCCTAAATGACTTCAGGTGACACCTTGTTCTGCCTGTACAGCAGAACCAAAGGCCAGAATTGGAAAGACTAAAAGTACAGGAAAGTTCTGTTGTAGATGAAGCCATGCTATACAATTCCTGATTATTTTTTAAAACATAGAGTTCAGACAAAAGTTATGCCTTCCCTTTCAAACACTGCCAGTTCAGAGGTTTGAGGGTCAACAAACCAACATACCTGATGTGTGCTTAATTCCCTTTTCTCCCACCTCCCTGAAGCTGGACCTAGCAATATTTGACCACAATTATCTGTTTCCAAAACAGCTGAATGAATAATATTAGTTCATTTCAAGACTAAGAAACTATTTAAAGTATTCAAGATGTCTATAAGTTGTAAAAAAAAAAATGTTTGAACAAGTCATTCAAACATTTTTTCTTTACCATGTTTTGCTGTCCTGTTAAACAGATACCAAAGATTTACAGTGTCACACAGATTTTACCAATAGCAGTAATTTTCAGAGTACTAGATAATAATAATGATAGTTGAGGTAACTATTCTATATTTTTAAAACCCAATTTCCCACTGCAGGGGACCTGTAAACATCTTAATGAAGGCCAGGTGAGAATGAGCTGATGAGCACCAAACATTGCCACCAGCACTACATGGGTGGGTGACTTTCAGCCCCACCTCCTCACCTGACTGAATACAGAAATTTCCCACCTCCCCTCAGCTTGAGTGAAGAAGGTCAAATTCCCTTTAAGCTGCCTAAGGTGTGCCAAATCATTTTTTGACCTGGTTTTAGTTGCTCAATTCCACTTCAGAGAGTAAGATTTGGAGTTGTTGCCCACGTTCCCACACCACAGTAGGAGACAGTGTCCCTTCCTCATGATCCAAACAACTCCTGGTGCTCCTTCTGCAAGAGCTCTGGGCTGTGTCCTGCTCTCCAGCATCTTGCTCCATGCCCACTGATGTACAAAGGTTCTGAGCTTATAAACACTTTCACAAGAGGCAGATTTCACTGGGCAAGTGCCCAGAGTTTGGTAGTGACAAAGGAGAGAAGTTCTGAACTATCAAGCAGATTTCTAGGAAATGCTTTTCAAGGTGTTTTGCATACATAGGTTTTTATTTTAACTATAAACCAGGCTGGGGTTTATACTTAATCCTTAACAGGAAAAAGGGATAACTACTCAACCTTTCTGTTCAGAATTGACCCATCTTGAAATTTGTACAGTCTGGACATTGATGTCTTTACTAGCCTAATGAGGAGTTGCCAGCTTGGTCAAGAAGAAAAAGATCTTCCTGGCTAAATGACAACATTCCTTGACAGAGACTTTCCAGTTTCATTAAGCTTGAGTTTTCATACTGTGTAACACAAAGAAAGAGATTTTCCAGATAAAGTGCCTTGATAAAGACATCCAACCAATGTACAATAGGCTTTATATTAACCTTTTCCTTCCAAGTCCTTTAAACTATAATAGAAGGTGAGAAAAAAAAGGGAAAAAAGAGAAAAATTGTGTCTTTACTTTGAAAATATAAATAAAATTTATTAATTAATCTATTCCTTCAGACCACTGATCTCAGGCAAAAGTCCAGAAGGAAAAGATCTATCCAGTAGCACAGAAGAACTGCAGAGACCCAACAAATAATTCTGTGCCCCACCCAAAGGTAATGAATTAGACTGGGAATGGTGATAAAGAAGAGGAGCTGCCTATTTAGGGTAATTCTCAAAACAACATATGAATTTTCTACAGTAATTTTAAAAAATCAAACTTGAAAGCATTTATTGAAGAATTTATTGCAGCTAGGTTACTTTTAAAACTTTCTCCATAACTTTTGCATTATACCAAAAATTACAACAGCAAAGTGCAATCCTGTACCACCCGTACATACAGACAAAACTGGGCAGTTGAAGACACAAATAAATAGGATATAATGGTAAGACTCAATGGTCTTTTCCAAATTCAAAGGTTCAATGTTTTCTAGGACTTCTATTTTTTAGGTCATGAAGTGCCACAGTGGTATGAATCTGTGGAATATCTAATGTGACCTCTGTTTGTGCATCCTTTGTACCCTTTAAACTAGGAAATTGATAAAGCAGTTGGAAGAAGAAAAAAAAAAAACACAACCATGTTTAAAACATTTTTCCTCTTTCTGCATCTTAAAACACTTCAGGGTACTTTAGTGGGCATGCATTTCTTATTTTCCTAAGAACTCTGAAAAGAAATCCACTGAAGCTTTTTTCTTGGGAATAAACTACTATTTTATACACAGGATACATATCTTTGCTTATTCCACACGCAAAACCAATTTTGTAGTGATAATTTACTGTCTGATTTTCCCACCTCACAATTATAGGCCTCCTCCAAGCAAAATTTTTCACAAGCTTGAAATTAATAAATTATCATTCAAATTTTGAAGTAATTTTATGAAATCAAATAGATGAAAAATGCATGCTGCTCTGATTTCTTGAATGTATTCTATATTGTTGAATTTGTAGGCAGGAACTTCAGAAAAATGATTACCATAATTATTCTGGGGACAAAATAAAGCAGAATCATTTTTTACTTGTTGTCAGCAAGACAACAGAGTTATTTCCCATTGTGTCCTGTATGTTTTGAACATAGCATTTCTGGTCCTCTTGTTTCTACAGGATTTAGTTTGGTCCCCATTTGGGCAGCAGAGCTGTAATTAATCTGAGCTCTCAGCTCATCTGAGTCCTGCTCCCCCTGACTTCATTAGGGCTGCTCCTCAGTGGTCTGTTTGCATGAATATTTGCACTGCCAGCTCCATTCCCCCATCCCATAATCCCACACCTGCTTGAGAGCTGCAGCTGGGGCAGCAGAGTTCCACAACTTGCCATGTGGGTATGAACAGATTCTGCCTTTCACTGTACAGAACAGAGCTCTGGGTTTAAACAGTGTTTTACCACCAGGTACTGCACAAATTCCAGTGGCTTTTTAAACCACATCAAGTCCACAGTCATGACATGACTGCTCCATTAATGTTCAATGCATTACACACAACAAACTCAGCTGTGTTTTATACTTCACTGTGATCACGGGCTGCTCACAGCACATGGATGTGGATGTTGTCAGCAAATAAAATAAACATCAAATAAAAGTTGTATGTAAAAGAGTTTAAAGTCATGTTTCATCATGTTTTCCCAATCTGAGAATCACAGATTGTATTAAAATGCATGAGTGTGTCTGCATGCATGAACAGATCAATGTACTAGATACAAGGATGAAATCTACCATGTTCTAAAATCAAAATTCTCACTGATTTTAGAGACTATATTATTGCCAAGATATTTTTCATGTAGTAAGAAAGCATAATTAAAAGAATTTAAACTGATACAAGACTACTTTCCTAGGAATGCACTTTTTCAAAGCTTTAAAAGAAGGGAGAAGAGGTACGTTTTGGTGGTTCTTTAGATAACAGGTATTTGTGAATATAACCAAAAAATTCGCTTAATGATTCAAATAAAGGACTCAGCTATCAGTGAGAAAAGTATCTGAAGTAATTAAAAAATGTAACAAATAAAATAATTGACCATGCAGTTGAAAGTAAAAAATTTAATCTCATTTTCTACTCATAAAAAGACAGCACGACAAATTCAATTTGTATCCAATGCCTAATTTTTTTCACACAAATTAAAAGCTTTCAGAATGATAAACATCTGGCTGAGTGACATGGAACTGGAAGGTAGTAAATGGCACACTAAAAAAAAAATTTTAAAGACCACAAAACTCTAACATAGCTGCAAATAGATTTTTCAGACAGTGACCTGATATTGAAAATATTTATCCTAGACTTTCACAAGCTGTATTAGTAATTTTTAAACAATAATAAACTTTCATTTTATAAATTTTCATTTTATAAATTGTTCACTTTCTGTACAATACAATCCAATGGCACAGCCTCAATTAATATCCTATTAAATTCAATTCTAACCTCAAAAGAAAATTCCACTTGACAGTTTCCAGTAGAAAGGAATGCAGTACTGTTTGATAGAGGAAAATAGTTCAGAACTTAAGCCAAACCTGCTTGAAGTAAATTCTTTTGTCATTTAAAACTGGAATTTGCACCTGACATACAATTTTAATCAGGCTTTAAGAGGTTAAGAACCTTAAGTGATGTTGTTTTGAGTCCTACCTACTGTTATTGTAAGACTTGAAACTGATGATCTCAATTTACAAAGTGCTGGGTTTGCATGCTGTGATAATTGCGGTTATCACAGTTGCGATAATTGTGCCTTTTTCCAAGGCGGATCTTCAATTTCCCGGTGTGGGCAAGCAGCGGATCCCGCACCGTCCCCTCCCGCAGCCCTGCCTCGGCCCAGCCCAGTCGCTGCACTGAAAGGAGCCCAGCGCTGCCCCAGCGGGAGCGGCTGCTGCGCCCCGCTCGGGGCCGGTCCCCGTGCCCAGGCACCGCAGCGCCGCGGGAACGGCCGCGGGAACGGCCGCGGGAACGGCCGCGGGAACGGCCGCGGGAACGGCCGCGGGAACGGCCGCGGGAACGGCCGCGGGAACGGCCGCGGGAACGGCCGCGGGAACGGCCGCGGGAACGGCCGCGGGAACGGCCGCGGGAACGGCCGCGGGAACGGCCGCGGGAACGGCCGCGGGAACGGCCGCGGGAACGGCCGCAGGGCCAGCAGGTGGCGAATGGCGCCTGCCACCAGCACAGCTCAGCTTGGGCCGCGTCCCTGCTGACAGCCAAGAGACTCCTGGTGTCACTCGGTTAATAAACACTGCTTGAGGGAGACGTGGAGTCATTCAAAGTGTGGAGACAGAGAGAAAACCCAGCCCAGGGACAGAATTTATTGGCAAGAAATCATCCTGCTTATTAAATATTCCATTTATTCATGTTTCTAATTAGCACTGGCATAGAACTTTTTCCAGGATCACCTTTTGCTGAAAGAATTCTCCCAGTCTACTCAAATCTTTGTGTATCACTTGGCATCAAGATCTACAGAACCTAACTTGGTAGGGCTCAAAATGATTTCTGAGAAGCTGTAGGACTTTGCTAGTACTTTAAGTATAATTCAACAATTAATTTGATGTACTGATACCCACACATTCTCTCAATATGATATCTTAATACCATATTTTCCCTGTTGCTGGCTTAATTTAATGTAGTGCCTCTATGGCATTATTCCATAGTAGAACAACAATCACTAAGGAAATATTCTGGTCTTTGAAGTTAGATTTTTATGAGTAATGCAAGGCCCAACATCTCATGGAGCCTCACCACACCTCTACTGAAGGTACCAACTTATCAGCCCAAGAACTGAGCAGGTCTTCACAATAACTCTTTATTCTTTAATTAATTGCTGGTCAAAATCAAGTCACATTCAAAATAGGGCATATTTGGCACAATGTGCACAACTCTATTAAACAACCTGATTAGAGCTGAAATACCTCCCACTGGATTTCAATCATTTAATTCCTCTTTAATTTCAGAAGGGTTGATTAGCATTTCACTCACTGCCTTATAAACTTACCCTTACCTTGTAATGATATGTAGATGGAATTGAATTTCATTCTCCATTTAACAATCATTGAAATATTCTTGGCAAGTAATTATAGATCAAAATAACTATATTCAGAAACTGCACCTTCTAACACCTATATGCATATTTGTATTTATATTCATCCTTTTTTAATTCCAACAAATATTGGAAGATATTTTTCAGTGTTAAACAATAGTTCAAGAGAGACACGAGAAGAGTATAAATCAGTATTATTATATTAAGTATGGTGCTAACTGCATTAAGAAAATTGCCACTTACTGCCATTTCAGAAAGCACATAATTAAATTTTGCAAAAGAACTTGGTCCAGCTACTAAATGAATTCTAAAGCAGCTGCAAATGGATGTCTTTCTGTTTGAAATGTTTTCAAATGGAATATCACCAGCTCAGATGTATAAATACAAATGAAACTGAATGCATGGTCTTCCTTCTAATGTTAAAGACAATTCAAAGAAGATAAATTCATTCTACAGAAGTGTTATCAATCCATTGAATTACTTCACCTAATGAACTCAAAGCATGTTAGGAGTATCAATTAAATCTTTGCAATG